GATTTTGATAGTTTAGTTATTACAGGTGATTTTAATATTCATGTGGATAATGTTGATGACAGAAATGCTAAAGAGCTGAGTTCTCTTCTTGAATCTTTTGGTCTCACTCAGCATGTGAGTGGCCCCACCCACAGCAAAGGGCACACTCTAGACCTGTTAGTTACAAAGGGGGCGAACATTTATAATGTAAACGTGGTCGATGTTGCGCTTTCGGATCATTTTTGTATATTTTTTGACATGTGTTTCACTAACAAACCACCAGTGGACTCTGCAACTGTACGAAGAAGACACATAAATGAAAATACGGGTGAACTATTTATGGGAATGATAAACTTTGAGAATGCATCGTATTCTACTGTAGATGAACTGTTTAACTCTGTCACCTCTAGTGTTTTGAAAGTTCTGGACACCATCGCTCCTGTGAAGGTTAAAATAGTGAAAAATAAGCAGAAGGCGCCGTGGGCTAAAGCAGACTCGGTCAGAGCACAAAAGAGAGAGTGCCGGAGGGCCGAGCGGAAGTGGCGCAAGTCCAACCTCCAGGTTGATTACAAGATCTTCAAAGACAAGTTGTGCGAGTTTAACCAGGTGCTACGTAGTACAAGAGAAAGGTATTTTTCTGAAATGATTGAAGGCTGCAGCAACAATCTGCGTGTTCTGTTTTCAACAGTTAATAGATTAACAAACCCCCCTGTTCAAATGCCATTAGAGCTAACTTCCAAACGTAAATGTAATGAGTTTGCAAATTTTTTCAATGACAAGGTTCAAGGCATCAAAAACGCCATTGTCTCCAATCCACAGATAACAATCCAACAGCCAGAAAGGCTCTTTGAGCTAACTTACTTTGCACCTGTAAATGATCAAACTGTCCAAGAGATAATCTCCAGTTTGAGCTCCTCCACATGCAGCCTGGATGTACTACCCACTAGATTTCTAAAGTCTGTTCTGAGCAGTCTGTTACCTTCACTCACACAGATAGTAAACATGTCCCTTGATTCTGGAATATTCCCAAAGGCCCTGAAAACTGCAGTCATCAGGCCCCTGCTAAAAAAGAGCAGTCTGGATGCTACGGTACTTAACAACTATCGTCCCATCTCAAATCTGCCATTTATGGGGAAAGTCCTTGAGAAAGTTGTCTACCTACAGCTTACTAGATTTCTTATAATCAACAACTCATTTGATATGTTTCAGTCCGGCTTTAGACCCCACCACAGCACTGAGACTGCTCTCGTTAAGGTTACAAACGATATCCGGCTGAACACTGACGCAAGCAAAGTCTCAATCCTAATCCTGTTAGATCTAAGTGCTGCCTTTGACACTGTCGACCATGAGATCCTCTTACAGAGACTAGAGGACTGGGTTGGCGTCGCTGGCACCGCCCTAAGTTGGTTTAGGTCTTACCTTGAAGACAGGAAGTACTTTGTGGAGATTGGAAACTGTGTCTCAGATCATATGGCCCTGACCTGTGGAGTCCCACAGGGGTCGATCCTGGGACCTCTTCTGTTCAATCTCTACATGCTGCCGTTAGGTCAGTTAATACGCAGAAACAAAGTTTCCTATCATAACTATGCAGACGACACTCAGATCTATGTCTCACTGACTGCAGGAGAACATGGACCAGTGGACTCACTCCTTCACTGTATCCAACAGATCAGTGAGTGGATGCAAAACAACTTCCTTCAGCTAAACGCAGACAAAACTGAAATGATTGTCTTTGGTCCCCAGAAACAAAGAGAGAGCGTCATCTGTCACCTACAGTCTCTCTCCCTAAAACCTTCAAACAAGGTCAGAAATCTAGGGGTAATACTGGACTCAGACTTACATTTTAATAGCCACATCAAATCAGTAACATCAGCAGCTTTTTACCATCTAAAAAACATTGCCAGGATCAAAAACATAGTGTCTAAAGCAGACCTGGAGATTCTTATCCATGCATTTGTCTCCAGTAGGTTAGACTACTGCAATGGCCTGCTCACAGGTCTGTCCAAACAGGCTGTAAAACAGCTGCAGTACATTCAAAATGCAGCAGCTCGAGTCCTGACAAGAACCAGGAAGTACGACCACATTAGTCCTGACTAGAACCAGGAAGTACGACCACATTAGTCCTGACTAGAACCAGGAAGTACGACCACATTAGTCCTGACTAGAACCAGGAAGTACGACCATATTAGTCCGGTCCTCAGGTCTCTGCACTGGCTTCCTGTGGCTCAGAGAATAGACTTTAAAACAGCTCTGCTTGTGTACAAGTCTCTCCATGGCCTCGCACCAAAATATATTAGTGACATGTTAGTCCCATATGAACCAGCCCGGACTCTGAGGAGCACAGGGACTGGACTCCTGCTGGGACTCTGAGGAGCACAGGGACTGGACTCCTGTTAGTGCCCAGAGTCAGAACTAAACATGGGGAGGCTGCTTTTCAGATTCATGCTGCTAAAATCTGGAACAATCTTCCTGAAGATGTGAGACAGGCCTCCTCTCTGACAATGTTTAAAACCAGGTTAAAAACGGTGCTGTTTGGCTGTGCATACAACTGAGGGATTTTATATTTTTATCTTTCGTTTTAATGTTCTGTTATTATTTATGATTTTAATGCTATCTTGTTCAGCACTTTGAGTTGCCTTGTGTATGAATTGTGCTTTACAAATAAACTTGCCTTGCCTTGCCTTGCCTAAAGCTAGGCTAAATGCTAAAGTTAGGCTAAATGCTGAATGCCTCACTCTCAGGCTCATTGAAAACATTACAGTAAACTCAGATCCAATGGTTTCAATCTGCAAAAGGAGTTAGCCCCTCCCACCTGTTAACGGAGTCAATGGAGCAGATCCAGACTTTAGTACAAATGAAATGAGTACCATGGTGCGGTAAGACCAGGTTACTTCTCTCAGTAAAAAAAACAAAGTTAATGATTTATTATGAGCTGATAGCTTTTCCATGGTTTGACCATGTGCATTTGAATATGTAAAAACTTCAGGTTTCATATTACACTCTGCAGGGCTAATAAAATCGGCGATGAAGACTATTCCTCTCACCCCCATATTAGCGAGATCTAGAGTCCTGTCCAACATTCTAAACCACTCCCCATATGTACCTCCAAAGCCACCTAGGGTTTCCAATTCACCTACAAAAACCACCTCAGCCAGTCCCTCCCCTAACCTCATGACCATTCCACCCCCAAGTCCCCCTCGTTCAATTCCTCCACCTCAGCCCACCCGTCCCCTAACCCATCACCAAAAACCCCTCTACCTCCCCGCCCCCCCCTCGTCCAACACCCAAGAACCACCCACCTCTTCATGCTGCAAAAATCTGGAATAATCTTCCTGAAGATGTGAGACAGACCTCCTCTCTGACAATGTTTATTAAAACAGTTCTGTTTAGCTGTGCACACAACTGAGGGATTTTTTATTTATTTTTAATGTACTGTGATTATTTATTTTTTCTTCAGCACTTTGAGTTGCATTATGTATGACTTGTGCTATACAAATAAACTTGCCTTAAAACATATTTACCAGTTTTATTTCTGTACTTTTGCACATGTATTCCAATGTGGTTTTACTGCATTTGATAAATACCGCTAATCTTCACATTAAAAGAATCTGAATTATCTTGGACAAGAGCTAACCGACCGGTCCCTCTGGGGAGTCTCCCAGAGACAGGTTTAACCTGGGACTTCCCGCTCCTCCCAGGTCCAGCTTAAGCCACAAAATGGCCGACGAGGACACGCTCTCAGGAAAGTATGGAAATAACTGAAAATAAACCTGGGATGAAGTTAGCAGATGGGGGAAGTACATGTACAAGTGACAATAAAACGTTTTCCATACACCCATAGTTCTATTTAATGTGATTTAAAAGTGAGGTACCCCAGCTTTAGTGTTGCTTCTATTCTAAAGTGAGCCATGGTGAGACCTTGGATCAGTTGAGTGGCTCTGTGGAGAGTCCATTCTCTTAGTGCTTTGAGTTTAGGTTTAGTCTAGTATCAAAGTATTTTTGCACATTTGTCCCCCACTCCAGAGATGGAGGAGGAGCCAACAGGAGGACCATGTCAGAACTATTGCATATACATGTTTATAGTGGTAGGTAACTGGAGCACCTGGAGGAAACTTATGCAGAAAGGCTTGGATGGGGAAATAAAACCCAGGAGCTTCTAGCTGTGAGGCACAAGCCCCTGAACCTCCTTGGAGGATGTAATGGTTCAGGAGAGAAGCAGAGACTGTCCTTTTGTGCTCTTTCAGTCTCATCATTTCCTTGACAAATGTTTGCTCCGTGACTAAAGAGGCAGTGGAATCTGAGACCTGAAAAACCAGTGTGACCAGCGGAGGACGAAACCAGCACAAACACCATGTGATCCCAGTTTGGTCTTTATTAAAACGCCAATTGAACAAAAGTGGATTTAGAGCCAAACAAAACATCAAATCCATCGCTGTTTCAAATCCAGACGATCGTCATGAAGCGAGGACTCATTTATGATACACGTTAAACCCCATATAATAATTACAAAAAAAACACAATTCAAAATAGAAAATAAAATCAGACAAAAAACTAAAGCGTGGCACTAGAACGATTCTGAAATGGCTTCTTCCTGAGGGTGAATTCATCGATCTGGTCTAAACTACACCATGAAAATATCCAAATGTTATTTTATAATCGAGGTCCGATCTACGCCGTGTCGCTTTGAGTCACTGAGAATGTGAGATCTGGAAAAGCTGAAAACAAAGCAGCACTTTTGAAATCTCTTTTTCAATCGTCTTCAGAGATTGAAATAAATAGAATTAAAACTGCAACATTGTTCCTGCTCAGGCCAGTCCTGACTTAAAAACAACCATTTGTACATTCAGTTAAAACATTGAACAAAAATAAATGTTTAGACAGATGTGGGAGTGTTTAAAAGGTAATAATCTTTGAGTGCAGTTTGTTGGAGACATCTTTACAGTGGAACATAGAGGTGTTTATATGGTTTGGCTGTAGAGGGCGGAGGACTTTAGTGTCGCTACAGTTCATGTGTGCGGTGGTTAGACCAGAGCGTGAGCAGCGAACACTGCGGCGACAGAGGCCAGGGCCAGCTGCAGAACCCCAGGGAGCCCTGCGGGGGCGCTGTTGCACAGGTCTGTGCTGCAGCAGGTCTTGGTCATGGTGTAGACGGTGGTGTTTCCAGACGTGGGGAAGTTCACGGCCTCCGTTTTGTTGCATTTGGAAATCTCCAGACAGCCCTTCATCTTGATGGGCATCAGGCTAGCTGCAAAGACAGTTCATTTGACCGTTAGGAGATTTCATTATGAGTTTATACATTATATATTACACATTTCATTACTATTATGATTCATATCTACATGATGAAGAATGCATTTCATTTATATGCAACATGTGTTTGTGAATAACCAGACTCAGCCATCAGAGCAGTTAAAGCCACAGACAGACGTTAGCAAGAGCAGCTACATGTACAGGACATTACACACTGATGCAGCCATGTTCACTTCTCAGGCCCCGTTTATACAGAGACAGTAAAACCTTAGAGTTGGCATCGGCCTCTCGTTTACGTTAAGAGTGTTTCAGGTGAAACTTAAGAGGCTCCAGAGTGGAACAGATTCGCAGCTTTGTGAAGAAGTGAATTCTAGTTGAGAATAAACGTAAAACAACAATGGCGGTGGGTATGCTAACTAGCGGGCAGCACAGGGTCTGAGTGGATAGCACTCTCGCCTCTCAGCAAGAAGGTCCTGGGTTCAAATCCCAGTCGGAACAGGGCCTTTCTGAGTGGAGTTTGCATGTTCTCCCCGTGCCTGCGTAAGTTTCCTCCGGGTACTCCGGTTTCCCCTACCACTAAAAACATGCTCACTAGGTTAAATCCTCCAGCTCTGGTCCTGACCAAGCAGAGCATCAACATCTGGAGATGGGTTCCCGGGAGCGGTTACTATGACGACCACTGCTCCTGACGTAAGCCTTCGTGGCATCAAGATGGGTCAAATGTAGTGCACCGTTACCTTAGCTATGGATGCTTTGAGCGCTAACGGAGGAAGATTCTACTCCTTCTGTTTCCATTTTCACTACTGCTGTTAAAGAAGGATGTTTGATCTTTCCCGTCTTTGGCCTGAGGAGGATGTTGAGGAAGTGGTTCTAATGCTGGGGTCACGCGTGTGTCCAGTTCCACTGCCCCCTACTGGCCGCAGGCTAGAACTACATTGTTTCCTTTCTAAACGCTGCAGGAGCCTGGTTGTTTTTGCTCATTGCTTTGCAGCGTGTCTTTTAAACGGGGCTGCAGTGACCGACTGCTCCTGCTGTGTTGATAAGTCACTGGTCTCATTCTGTTATGAGGGACAATGAAGGACCATGGGGGAGGAGGCTTGGACCAGCTGTAATTGACCCTTTGGGACACATTAAAGTGTTACCTGCTTCTCCGATGCCGCTGAAGCAGTGCTGTCCGGCGTCGCACGTCGTCTTGCTGGTGTAGCACAGGTCTCCGAAGCCGAGCTTACATTCGTAACACATCAGCGCCTGCACTGAACACAACACACAGTTTCACTAAACCACAACTTATTTATGACACAAAACAATTACACTTCAAACATGATTCACCACAGTGAGATTATGTGTAGGAGGAGTTCAACAAAAACAAACTGCATTTCATTAAATCACCAATGACAAGACTGTTCAGTAGAATCAAGAATTAAAGACCAAAAGAGGCTCTTGAGGCTTCATTACTGGAAATAAATTCTGATTAGAAAAAGTCTTGTTTCTTCTTAGCGTTTTGGTTTAGTCATGTTTGTCCTTTGTGCTATGAGACTTGGGTGGCATCTCTGACTGCCACCCCCCTGACCCAGAAATGGATTAAAGGGTAGAAAATGGATGGATGGATGTTTGTCCTTGTCCTCAAATTGTTGACGTTCCACTCTGCAGTTTCTCATCAGCTGCTGACTCATGGCTTTGACCGTAAACTGGATGTAATTAAAGCGTCACTGTCATAGTTTCTTTTGTTTGACACCAACTGAAGCAGATTGTTCTACATTCTCGTCTCATGGTTTTAGCACGTACTCTTACGCAGCAGCTTTAGAAGAAACCATCAATCATGTTTTAGAAAGTGTTTAACGACAGGTGGTGAACAGAATACAGCTGCAGCATTAGATCTGAACAGTCAGCCCAGAAGATGGTCCCAGTCTTTAAGCAGTAATTATAAAAACTTCTATGATCTAATTAGTGTTCTGGTGCAATCCCATTTGGTTTGTATTTAGTCCTAATCACAACAGCAGCCGTCTGAGGACTTTACAGTTGTGGAAGCATTGACCATTAGTGCAGGAAAGAGTTTACAAATTTGATGTGGATTCAAATTCATTTAAATCTGTTAAAGCTGTTTCTATTCTAACACATGACTTCTGTCTTCAGTTTGTGACCGGCTCTGGGTGCAGATCTGATGATATTGATATAAACCCAGATCATGTCTCTGAAAGCAGGCGATCTGAAACACTGATCTATGACTTAGAATGGCTCCGAACAATAGAGCGACACAAGTACCTCCGTCAGTCGACCATGACATCACGTTTACGTCAGGGTGTTTTTCCCATGACTGAAGAGTTCTTTGGGAGGAGGATTGGAACCCTCATTCAAGTAAAAAGAACAAGGAATATTCTGTGGTTGACGTACTGTTTAGACACATAACGGCCCCAACACAAACACAATATTACTGAAGCCTCAGTCACTGCTGCAGTGACTTTTTAAACTAAACATTTTGAGTTTGTAATAGTTTAATGCCAAAACGTCTGCGTCTAAGTCAATAAAGAAAATGTTTTAAATCCAAAATTCTAACTCTGGCGATTTTGGTACAATCCATTTTTACAAGATCATTTTACAACAAACATAAGCCAAAAGGAGAGACCAGGTTCTTGTAAAACACAGTAAAGGTCCATTGAGTGCCCAAACAGCCATATGTCATGTATCAGTCTTGAATAAAAGGTGACCATCAACAATAAATGGCTTCACCCAAAAGAATAAGGTAAAAATAAAACTAAAATTCCAAAAGCAGATCAAAGCCCTTCAATTCATTCAGATCAAGCCTAGTCCTAGTTGTCACATGGTTATTCCCCCCAGTCCTGAGGGGGGAGTTTTATGGATGCCATTTTCCACACAAACACGAGAGACGATATTTTCTTGATCAAGATCAGAATTTACAAAACAGCCAAACAAAACTTAGATGTAATCATCCTCATGCTTCCTCCTTTATGGTTTTACTGTAGCATGTGCAGCATTTTTACTTTATTAAATTATTCTATGAAACATTATGATCCACATGAATCCTGAGGCTGTTGCATCTGTTCTAAAGAGTGATGAGCTGTCCGTATTATCCCAGGCCACGCCACAGGCCAATACAATATTCATTCATTCATTAATCCACCGAGTTCCAGCCACGCCCGGAGCATCACCCCCCTCATCATTTCAGACGCTACATGAGGTCATACTGAAGCTGTGACTAAAACACATTGTGGAAAAACGAGGCCCTTTCCTCCATTTTCTCTCGAACATCAAAAATGTATTTGAGGCCACGCCCGTACGTCTTGTGTAATGTGCCCGGACCAGTTCAGTCCAGTCACCTGATGCCATCGTGTTTATGACAGCAGAGAGCCAATTATCAGAAGCTCATGGAAGCACAAAGCCACATTTTAATTGGTCCTATGTGAACAGAGAACAACAGGCAGTTTTGTTCAAAAGCAACTGTTGGAAATGTGGCAATAATTGACTGAAGACAACAATGTGTGGAATGTGGAGTGGAAAAGTGCAGCTCCTGCTCAAAACATGAACTGTCCCAGTCTGGAGCTTTCCATCACTACATTCAGACAGAACGAGGGTAGGGCAAGATTAGGAATTATTTTTCTAATTAAATCCAATGTAAAACCTGAGAAAGAGCAAACAGACCCGACACATCACGGGTAAATTGTCTTTACCTCTTTGTCACGGTTAAAGACAAAGAGGCAACGTTTGAAATGGCCGCTCCCTTCCTCTTAAACTCACTGCCGCAGTCTTCTTCATTTATGTCGCTAGATTAAATTTGCAATCTTTTTATTTTTGGCACAATCCAAGACAGAAACATCTCAATATATATATATTCACACTTTTACAATAGTGGCTCATTAACAGTAAATCCTCTAATATTAAGAATGTGATGAAGTATTGGGATGATCATATGTTGTAGCCAGAGTTTTAGAACTAACCAAAGATGAGGGAAACTTCTTCGTTACACAAGAGTTTATGAAACTGGAGAAAAAAAAAAAAAAAAAAACCCAGACCTAGTTAAAATTCCCATCACAGATTTGACACCTGCATTCAACAAGGCCAAGAGTGATCCAATAAGAACTCCACATGGTGCCAAAAGGGGAGTGGACGTTGTGTCCTAAAGTCTGCACTGGGAAGATTACCTGAACATGACATCTGTAGAATCAGAGCCTCCAACAGAAACCAACCACTCAGGCTTTTACCGCCCCCTACAGGCCACTCCACACTACTGCACCATCACTGCAGGTCATTGGGTTTTGCACAGAGCGTAGAGTATAGACTTTATTAGCTTCATTACTTCAACAGGAGAGATAATTTTCTCAGTCAAATCCATTCACAGAAACTTGCCGTGAATAGTGAATATGACAAAGTCTGCTCATGAGAAACCTGTCAGTGCATCCACGAGACAAAAACACAAAGCATTGATACAGAGACCGGCTCATACAGCAGTTATCAAGCTGCATGTTTGACTTTATAAATACACTTTATATACTAGATGTACTTTATAAATATTAGATGTAAATGGCAGATGTACAACGTCTTGTCTTTATGTTCAGAATTCATTCCAAATAGGCTTTGTTGCCCGAGGGAGTGTTTGTTCGACACCGCAAATATTGCACAAAGAGTTTAAAAGCCTGTTCCTTAAGTGAGAGCATAAAGAGTGGATCAGGTGACCACGTCGAACACTAGAGGGCGTCACACAGCTGCTTTTGTCCACCCTGCCTCCAGGCCACAAACCCAACATGTCTCACATGAGGGAGAGACCTGCTCTGACCATATACACCATTATTATTCTGTGCTCATTCATGTCACTGAAGGCAAACTAAGCAGCTGGGATCTTTTTATTTTATTAGAATTCTAGTCAGACATCAAACAGATCAATTGAAATAAAAACACAGATTTATTCCAGTCCTTACTACTGTCCTGTATGTGCGCTGCACTATGGGGAAAATAAAAGCTTTATCTTATACCTCGGAATGTTGTAAACCAATTCCCTGAGTTTTCCCATTTTTGGGCCTCATCTGCACAGACGACATGAGGAAACTTTTGAACAAACACATTATAAATGAAACTCAGACGGTCACCTCTGGTGTTTTCCTCATCATGGTTCACACTGGAATTTTGGCTGTAGACTAGTTAATAAGTGAGAAACAAACTCATTTGTAATGTACCATTGCACCACCAGAGGGCGCACGTGTACAACTCCAGAAAGGAAGTCAATGAGTTTCTGGAAAAGAACTGAATAACTAACGTTTCTTTACACTGCAAAGATCAGAGACAAAGACAAACTTCTACTGGATTGAAACGTATAAATCCAGCGCAGGTTTTTATGCTCATGATTAAAGCAGGACTAAGAAGTTACCGGCAGCTTGGGTGGGGCTGCAACTGATTCCAACATGGGTGGTTCAATGGATTTGGCCTTTGAGAATAACAAGACTTAAGACAACAATGGTTGTTGTATTTACCATTGGGGCACACTTTATTGAATTAGTCAGGCTGTGATTAACGCCTTTAAAAAACACATTTGGAATGGTGAGATCCTTGGATTAGTTCATCAGGAGAACAAGAGGGCTCTCTTGTTTTATTGACACCAGTCTTGGCACATGTAATTCATGAGTTAATATTGGATCAAATGAAAAAGATCAGAGACTTCCCAAACCTCAGTAAACATGAGTATTTAGCATCATCAGGTGTAAGTTCCCAAAAGCTGCTTCTTTGTGTTCGAATCTGGGTCAATTCTGGTAATTCCTCAAAAGACATTTAAAACCTGAAGTCGACAAACAAGTCATTTCAAAGTTTGAAGATTCTCCTGCGTCAAGTCCTGTGTCACCATTTTAACTGATAGTTAATGTAGATCTCACAAAGATCACAGCGTCAACTTCAGCGACAAAAGGAAAACTCTGGTGTCGACCTTAACAGACCTCGCCGTTGGAAAACATGTTCAAGTCTTTCCATCCTCGGCACATGTGTGTGAAGAACAGGTCAGACGCAGAGTTTACACAAACACAGCTGACATGGCGCTTCTCGCAGATCACCACAGTCCTACAATGCTCATATTTCTATTCATAAAAAAACATTTGCAAATCCAGATGTTGTACGTCTACACGGCCCAACAACAGTTTCATGGACTTTTATTTGAATTTAGCAGTAATTCAAATGTTTAGTCAACAGAAAATGTTGACTGAAAATGATTTACCAACAGTGCACGTCTTTGATGAGGGAAACCAGGATGCTCAAAAGCAACATCTGAGAGTTGAACCCATGACCCTGTGGTTTGAGGTCAATTCTGTTTCGTTCTGATTCCCAGTCATTAAGACACTTCATAAAGTGATGGAGGAAGGTGTGTCTCGAGTCGACTAATTCCTAACGGACTAGAATGACTTCAATTATCTATTGAATTTTGATGAGGACTTTAATAGATAATTAATGTAATAATTCAAATCTCTACAGATGAACCAAAGACAGAAGATTCCCCAGAGTCTCTGCTCTCGCCCACAGACTGATCCCAGACCTGTGACAAACAACCTGTGCTGCTGTAGCGCTCCGTTAGGAAGGGTGTGGTCTGAAACAGCACACCAGAAACTGAGGCGACAGGGAAGACGCACCGCGAAGCGCCGTAAAGATGGCGCCGTGGCAAGAGCTCTGGTGTGTGTCGTCTGGTGCACACTGGGGTAGTCTTGCAGTTTTTCCTATGTGGTTTTACTGCAAATGGCAAATAAATGAATCTGAAGACGCACCGCGGCGGTTCACAGCGGTTTCCAGGAGGAATGTCTGTATTTCACACAAGTCGAGGCATGAAGCAGACACTGAGATTACACCAAACACAAACTGCCAGGTCAGACACTGACAACACACACACGTGATGTAAGGTGTGATTCAGCGTCAACACTGGTCATGGGATTTATGGTTTGGGGAAATGTGTGCTGTAGATAAAAATAGTTTGTGTCGAGTGTTGGTGAAAAGCTCAGGGTGGTGTCTCCAGTGTCTCCATCACAGAGACAAGGCAACAACAACATCTGCAAAGAAGGACCCTGTTTGTTTAGTAAGAGAACACCTGATAAAAGGCAATCACAGAGACTGAAGATGTGAAAACAATACAACGGTATCAAATTGACTTCAAACAAGCTGCTTTGTTTGGGTGAAAGCTAAATGTTGGTGTTTTTTTGTTAGTCTAGTCATTTGCAACATGAAACTTTGGGAAAGTTCCCTCATCTCCACCTGAAATAAAATGAATCCCCTTTACCACAAGTAGAATGTATTGTTTCAGTACAAGGATTGTATTAAAGTATTCCAATGTAATCCTATTCTTTAGTCAGACTTCTTGTGTCCATAGTCCATCTTTAACTGTCATTTACTGGATTGAAGTGGATTTAAATGTGACGTAGATTGTGGTTTAGTTGTAAATACGGCGCGTTACAGTCTGATATGGTTACAACGGACTAGTTAAAAACCTCGGGCGTGAAAGAGTAAATTATAAATACTAAGGACTATTTAAGTGTATGAAAATATTTGAACTTAATTCTCTTTTTACTAAGTACTTTACCAAGCCAGAATTATTTTAATACCGAAACATTATAAAGTTTCACCTATTCTTGAGGAAACTGGTCTCTGCTCCTTATGGACCAATGTCTATTTTTTTATCATTTGTTTTGCTTTGAACAGGTTGATTCTCTGATCTCTGTTGAGGAAAGCAACAATTTTGTGAAGTCCAAGAGAACTACGGTTGTAATTTGGAGCTATACAAAAATAAATTGAAGTTAGCTACAACTTAAGAGATATAAATGAAATACTCAATTGTAAAAACATCTTCAATCACCAAAATTGATTCTCCTCATTTAGTGATATTTTTGCATTTATTTCCAACCCCACGCATTGACACACTTACATATGGGGTGTACAGGGTTAAACCAGAATGTAATCCTTCCTTGTGAATAACATGTCAAGGTGCCTTTGTGTCGTCCCTGTTGTGGTGGGATTAGTTTCCTGGACACACCCAAACTTTGCAGGAGTTCAGTCAATTCCCACAGAAAACAAAAACATTAAATAAATACATGTTCATTAAACAGTCTCTTTTTGACGCCCTGTACGTCAAAAAGGACTGTGGTGATCCAGGACACTACATTTATGGATTCATGGTCTCTCCCTTTGGACCAATCCCAACTGTTTGATTCTCTGATCTGTGTTGGAGAATTGGCAGTTTTGTAAAGCCCTCTGAGATAACCATTGTTGTGATTAAGGTCAATACATGAATAAATGAAATTGAATCAAAGTAAGTAACGGTTTCCAGCTGTCCTTCCTCGTGCGGTCAGATTAACTGCCGTGCACGTGCGAGAAACGGTGCTGAAAGAAGCTCTCGTCAATGGTACTTTGATTAAATAAATATATTAATACGTAAATAAATAATAGCCTAGAGATGTAAAGTAGTTTGAATCCTGAATAATAAATGCATTTCTGCTCAAAATTGTGATTAAACACGAAGCAGAAACAGCTAACGTGCTAATTCTTTACATTTTTAACGAACCAATCACAGACGTTTGTGGCGTTTATGGTCCACTTACCTGTAACGAAGCAGAACGCCACGGCAAAGAGCTGGAAGACGGTTCTGTTCATGTTTGCGTTGGGTTTTGGTGCAGTCGGCTCAGAGGGGTCGTTTTAAAAAGTGCAGAATAGTTGCTCCGTGATGAGAAAATGAAGTTTGAGTGAAGTTTTTCAGTTACTTCGCGGGTTTTATACTTCAGCGCCTCCCAACGGAGTCCCCACGGGCCAATCAGCGTCCAGAGCCTGTTGCTATGGAGACGCCACACCGGCACGTCCGTTAATTTGAGTTGATTAACAAATCTGCAGAATTGGAAATAAGCTACAAGCTAAACTGTTTTGGTCTTGGTAGTGAAATAGAAATAATTTGCTTAAGAAGAGTATAGCACTGAAATAGGTCTCGCTTTTAAAAAAACGACTTCAAATTCAGATTTTCATATAAAAAGTGTCACGTGACAATTTATCACACGTTAAATGTGATAATGGGGAAGGCACCCGTAAACCTGTTTTCTTCTGCCTTCTCCTTTTTAGCGTTGTACCTGTAAACAAAAAACTTAAAACATTTTTACAAATAAATAATAATAATTTAAAAAAACTGCTAAAATAAAACTGCTGCTACTACTTAATAAAGAGAAAATTGTCGTTATTATGTATATTTTTATTCAATATGTATTTCTGTGGGTTGACTTTGTGTGAGTTCACAACATTGTACAAGCTTAAAACTTGCATTTGGTTAAATATTTCCCTGCCCACTATCTGCCGTATAATATATCTATTTTGTCATTTAGTTATTTGAAGAATGCAAATTATTTCACATTTACATTTCTGTAAAAGGGCCAGTATGACAGTGAAATCAACATTGAATTTTCCCCACTGAGGTTTTTCTTTTTAAAAACACAACATCGGTCGACTCGGAGGACTTTATAAAATTGTCAATTCACCAATTACAGGTTGGACAATGAAACCGTTTAAACCAATATAGGAACCATTCGTCCATAGGGAGCGGGACGACCAATGTCCTTAAATGTCCATAAATGTCCTTAAATGTCCATAAATGTCCATAAATGTCCTTAAATGTCCATAAATGTCCTTAAATGTCCTTAAATGTCCTTGATGATTGATCCACCTCCTCCGACAATTAATTGTTTCCTGCTCTGTTCATTTTTTAAGTTGCAAAACCTTCTCATCTAATGTCACCACATTCTCTGTCCTGATTTTGCCGACACAACTGTTTCTCAAGTCCGTGTTGCATATTGTTGCGCAGGAAGATTAGTGTTTGAAAAGCCTTCTTTGATATTTGTGTTTGTTTTACTGAAGAGAACAGCCCATTATCCTAACAGCACATTAATGTTCCTCTGTCCCTGTCAATAGAAATGAAGCCCAGCCCTTCATGTAAATATATGTTTTCTCTGTTATTGAAATGTACAAATGCTGCCTGAAACCACGTCCTGTCACTGTAAACTAGTTTAACTACATCTTCCCAAAAATCTTCATAAAAAGTGATATCTATACTTCATACTAGATTGTGACTGTTGTGGTTTTGGCAGTGCTTTGTGAGTGAACTTTGGGAATAATGTAGAAATGGTCATAGATTATTCAGCGACAGTGGCTCAGTTGGTAGAGCATCTGTCTTTGTGCCTGAAGGTTGTAGGTTTGAATCCACCACGAGACTCCCACTGATGACTGCTGCCGTTGTGTCCTTGGGCAAGACACTTAACCCCACTTTGCCTGAAGCCCCTGCTGAAAGATCTCAGCTCCTGTGGACTCAGCACCTGCAGGAGGATCAGTGAGGGGCTGGTGCTCTGTGACTGGGTGCAGCTCTGACTGCCACCCCCCGACCCAGACATGGACTAAGGGGAAGAAGATGGACGGATGGTCACAGAATAAATGAGGACTAAAGAACTGACTGCTTTCCTTTTTTGTTTTAATCCTGACACATTATTATACCCCGCTGAAAGACCAAGGCCGCATCTGTGTCGAAGGAGCAGCCATCTTCCCGTGGATCCACCACCTGCAGGAAGATCAGCGTGGGACTGGTGCTCTGTGGACTGGGTGGCAGTTCTGGTTGCCACCCCCTGACCCAGAAATGGAAATTTAAGGGATGTAAATGAAATGAAACATTATTATTCATTTAATTATTTATTATTATGGAGTTCTGTGAGGCGCTACTTTATACTTTGGACTGAGGGCTCTTTTTCTCTGGACTAAAGATGTGACAGAGTCCAAAATTACATGCATGTGAAAACCAGATCAAGACCGAGTCCAAGACCAGGACCAGGGCCGAGACCAAGACCAGGACCGAGACCTAGACCGAGAACCTTAAGCTAAAGACCGAGACCGAGACCTAGACCGAGACCAGGCTCAAGACCAGGACCTGAGCCGGGACAGAGACCAAGACCAGGACCCAGACCAGTGACCCGGACCAAATATAGACGTGAAAAACTAGAAACAAACTGTTTTGAACGAGAGGACATATCTAATTGATTTTAGACTCATTATTATTTTACACATTTTAAAATCAGCACAAAACACCTGTTTTACAACTTTACACCAGGTTTTTAAATATTCAATAATGACTAAGAACTACATTTACAATTTATTGTATGAAAAATGTAAAAAAGGACTGCACTTAACTGCAATAAATCATTTCTCGGCCTTAATTTGTTTCTTAAAAACTGGAACAAAATATCAGAATATACAGTAAATATAAACATTCTTCTAAGTGCTCCAGTATTTTCATGTTTGTGTATTTCTGGTCAGACTGCTGCCTCTGCCACTCAGCCCTGGATAAAGCAGAAGAACAGGGATGTTGTGGAAAAGCTTTCAATTCAAAATAAATGATTCACTTTGGTTTCGTTCAGAGAAATACCTGTTTATTAACTACTGCTCTGTTCATCTGATCATATCTCATTTTCTCTGTGTTTTTACACTGACACGAGGCGAGATCACTCTGGTATATAACTTATAGTTAAAAGTTAGATTATAATCTGAAACATTCCAGGCAAAGCAAAGACAGAAGCAGAACACTTTGTACTACACACTTGAACATAAAGTACAAATATACAAATATCCGACCGCTGAAGTATATCCCAGAGCTCCCTGCGGCCTGTGATCACCTTCTGCAAAGTCTTGTGTTGGTTACCTGTGTTGAGGATATTCAACATCAGAGAACACGAGGCTGGTCCCGGACGCCAAAGCAAACACTCTGATGGTTTTGGGGATTTGTGGGACATTCCTGATCCGAGTCAACAAAACAGGTGACGCGCAGCAGCCGCAGGCGACGCAATGGAATCATGTTGGGATCAAGGTTTCGTCGTGAGGTCAGAGGATTCTTATTGTGGGAATCATGAAACAACTGCTTGAATGGAATATTCCTTTTATCTTGTTTGGCAAAACTACTCTGGCACATAATTGGTTAGACCCATAGCTATTGGCAAACTCTAACTCTAGTGCGTCATTAATGATTAATCATTAGCCACAGGAGCCAGAGGAGCCAGTTAGAAGTTAGAAGGGTCTGTGTCTCTCAGTGAATTTCCTCTGTGAAAGAGTGAAGCCCATGGAACATTATTTTTGCTTTTCTTTTGCATTGATTTGTGTGTTCGTTGTTTCTTCCAGAATTTGCATTTTTCCAAAGACAGCTCCAGTCAGGACAGAGATGGTTGGCTGAAGATGCTGAAGATGGTCCGAGAAAGTAACCAGAGCAATGGCTCAAACACGCATGAACCGCTATAAATCTGAGCCATTGGGCCAGAGCGAGCGAGACGACCACGGTCCACAACTGGACCTCTCTGTCCTCAGACCCTCTGCATCAGAACCACGCCCATGGTCAAGAGATGTGAAGTCGACGTGAGTCCATCCGTCCGTCCGTTTTCTTCCGCTTCATCCGTTGCAGAGACGCCCAGACTTCCCTATCCACGCACACTTCCTCCAGCTCGTCCGGGGGGACCCCAAGGCGTTCCCAGGCCAGCTGAGAGACACAGTCCCTCCAGCGTGTCCTGGGTCTTCCCCGGGGCCTCCTCCCGGTGGGACGTGCCCGGAACACCTCCCCAGGAAGGCGTCCAGGAGGCATCCGGAACAGATGCCCGAGCCACCTCAACTGGTTCCTCTCGACGTGGAGAAGCAGCGGCTCTACTCCGAGCTCCTCCCGTGTGACTGAGCTCCTCACCCTATCTCTAAGGGAGCAGCGGCTCTACTCCGAGCTCCTCCCGTGTGACTGAGCTCCTCACCCTATCTCTAAGGGAGCAGCCACTCTGCGGAGGAAGCTCATTTCGACCGCTTGTATCCGCGATCTCGTTCTTTCGGTCATTACCCAAAGCTCATGACCATAGGTGAGGGAGGGGACGAAGATTGACCGGTAAATCGAGAGCTTTGCCTTTCGGCTCAGCTCCCTCTTTACCACAACGGTCCAATACAGCTCTGACTGCAGACGCTGCTCCCTCTTTACCACAACGGTCCGATACAGTGACCGCATCACTGCGCACGCTGCACCGATCCGCCTGTCAATCTCACGCTCCATTCTTCCCTCACTCGTGAACAAGACCCCGAGATACTTGAACTCCTCCACTTGAGGGAGGACCTCTCCACCTGTAGAGGGCAAGGCACCTTTTTCCGGTCGAGCACCATGGGACGTGAGTCCATTGTTTGCATATTCTGTTGTCTCTGAGGTTAATACTACCAAAAGAACCACTTTGAAAACACATCCCCTTCATGGCCACATGAGGGTCGTGGGTTCGAGCCAGACCTTCACCATCGACTCCCACTGTCTGCTGTTGTTGTGTCCTTGGGCAAGACACTTAACCTCTGGGAACACCAGCCACAGTGGGGCGGCTGCGGCTGTAAAGTGCCAAACTTCGTTGTGTCCTTAGGCAAGACACTTCACTCCCATTGCCTAGAATGAGTCTGGTGTGTGTGAATGTTGGTGGTGGTGGTGGGAGGGGCCAATGGCACAGACTGGTTGCCTCGCTTCTGTCAGTGTGCCCCAGGGCAGCTGTGGCTACAGTAGTTTATCACCACTGTGTTTGGAGTGAATGTAAAGCGTCTTTGAGTGTCCAGAAAAGCGCTTTATAAAACCGATG